ATTTAGGAATGCACTAACAAAATGTAGTAATACTTTTGAGTAAAGAACACTCTTTGGCACACTTCCTATTATATAACTTTCAACATTTAATGACAAAAATCCAGCCAGTGAACACTGCAACTGTTGGAATTTGCTTCGCAAAATGTGCGAAAGTGTGTGAAATTGCCATACGTGATAGCCTTGTTTTTTTTTAATTCATCTTCAGCTTATGCACAATTCTTTGTATCAGAATTATTTTCATCCAAGTTACTAAATTTCAAATTCTTGGTAGTGTTAAAAAAGACTAGGCATCCTAGAGACGGAACTATTTAGAACCAGTAGATCTGCACACTGTCTCTCCTAACCCAACAGTAAATGTTTATGAATACCTAATTTGGGATTTTAAAAATCCAGGGCAATAGGTTAAGAAAACAGTCATTGCCTCAGATTAACTAGTTAAACCAATAACAATGTGTCAAATAATGTTAATTTGAGGCCCTATTTCATTTATTATTCTAGTATGAGAGACCAGGTTGCATAGTATTACAGTTGTAATGACTCTGTTCATTCCATTACTTTGGTACATGGCCTGCGGACAGTGTGTGAATATGAGCAGGCTGGTCTGCTCTGCTTGGGAGTGAAGTTTCATACAGTAGTTTGAGTGACAAACATCTCAGAGCTTGCTCGCATTCCTCTGTGGAATAGTCACTTCTGAGAGAAAGAGGTGCGGCTTCATGGTCTGGGAACATGACTGTCAGCCAGGAACACAGAGTTCTCAGCCTGAAACTAGTTCTATTTTCTTTATGGATCAGATCATGCTAATGAATTTTTCTAGGACTCAGTTTACCCAGTTTAAAAAGCTGGTTAGGAAAATCTAATTAACTGGGGTATATTGAGTACTAATGAATGGATAGCTGCTAAATAACTTGAAATGAAAAGTGATATGAATGTAAGTAGGGAGATGTTATTTTCAGAAACTATTAGTTTTACAAAATAAGTAACAACAGTCTTGTCCTTTGGAAAAATTACCCCCAAACAAAAAAATTCATTCTTATGTTTAAATAGTTTAATTTTTCTGAATAAATATTATCTATTCTAAATGTTTCTCTTTTTAAAGTCAACATGCTAAATATTTTATGTGATGCAAATAATTAAATTCATGATTAGCTTCCATTTAAACGTAAGAGGTAGCCTCTTTGTTCTATATAGCAAAGAAAAATCTTTTCTGAAGTTCCATGCACTGTAAGGATACAGACATTATTAACCTTAATGTTTCAGAGAAAAAATTAGGATCAGAGAAATGTATAGTCAATCTAGAGCTTGAGCAGGGTGGTATAATAAACTGCCTGTTTTAAAATGATAAAGACTTCCAAGAATAAGATTCAGGTTCCAGAAAGAGAAAATTGTGCATATGTGCCCAAACAAAACGAGAGGGAAAAAAGACCTAATGATTGAATAATTGTAGTATTTTATATCTGACAGAATAAAGTTTTTAAAAAATCAAACTCAAATGCAAATGCTCCATTCTGGTGCCTCAGCTGGTCAGCATTTCCCTACCCAAAACCTAACCCCTCAGAATTAATCAGCCTCATATATGAGGTTAAAAAAAACTTCCAAACTTCTAAAAAATACAGTGTGATTCTTTATACTAGGAAGCTTTAAATCTCCTATCTATTCCCCCTGTTTAAAAATGAAAAACAGAACAATGGATCTTCAGTTCTGTGTCTGGGATCTCAAATTTGGCTCTGAATATGTGTTTCAAATCTCATTAATTACAATATTGGCCCCATGAGATACAGTTGCTGATGCAAAGAACACTCTTTGTACTCAAAATAATTTGAACAAGGGCAAAGAAGCATTTTATTTACATGTGTAAACGTTAAGAGGAAAATAAAACAGAGATGATGGTTCAGGTAGCTGCTGAGATAGTTTAATGATAATTGATTTGATTACTTAAGCTGTAAGGTTACCATGTGTAGGAATAGTCATGTTTTCACTTTGTATATTTGTTGGATCATAACATTCTTATAAAGGTAACTCTGACATTAACTTGGCAAGTTCTGAACTAAGATCTTTTAGCATTTTATTATTTCCAGACACTAAGACCAAATTGTTTTGAATTCCATACCCTGCTGTGCAGATTTATAATTTATTTATTTTTTAAATATCAGAAAATATGCCATTATTCAAAAGACTCTTCTGTGTAACAAAGCTGGGAAAAGACCAATCAATGAATAAATTACAGCAATAGCAAATAGTCTTTCTTGTTTTCTTTCTTCATTTTCCTTTCTCTTTAGGAAACAGTAAATTAAACCATTGCTATTTGTGGTCTTGTACTGTGAGAACACATGTGGTCATACATTTTCATCCTATTAACAAATCTGTTGGCTCAGTGGGTAGAAAGTAAAGTCTACTGCAAAGATGTGTTAATGCCTTACATGAGGAGGGTCATCTGCTTTGTATAGCCACAACCTAAAAGTACTGTTCTGAGAGATGGTGCCCATTGGCTGTCTTTAAATGGGTACTGAAGAGCACAGTTAAATAGCCCTGATTACTTACAAGAATCACTTGGGGCTTACAAACAATACTGATGAGATGCCTGGGTCAATTCCCCAGGTTTCTGACTTAGTCTGGGGTGGCGTTCCCAGAACTTGTATTGAAAAACAAACAAACCCAAACAAAAAAAATTAAAAATTCTCTTAAGGCAATTCTAATGTATCATGACTGAAAATCAGGGCGAATCCCAACTCCAGTGCAAAGATATCTTTTTTGTTGTTGTTGTTAGATAATAGTACAAAGCCCACTCTTGGTTTTAAATGGAAAACTTACCTTATTTCAGGTGTGGGCGGCAGCTGCCAGAGCTCCCTCCTTGACAGCATTCTCTAAGCAGCACCTTATAGGGAATGTTCTATGGGTGACCGAGCCTTGAGATGCTAATAATTGTCTGAGTTAAAGCCAATGGAAGTAGATAATTGAACAACAAATTACATAACGCTAATGTTGAAGGTAGAGTCTGTAAACAGTGGCAGTCTTACATACACTTGAGCATTTTGAACAAAACTTCATCAAGAGAGGTTATTACTCCTTCCAGTTCCTCAGAGCCTGTGAATGCCATGTCCCCACCACCAAATCACTGCAGGTCATTATAAACAGAGAAGAGAATTTTGAGTAAGAAATGGCAAGTTACTTCTCTTATAAATCAATCAACTTTAGCCAATGTGACTTTTTTCACTTTCTTTATCTTCACTTCTTCTATCAGCTGAATTTTTGTACTTTTAATAAAAGCACACTTACTTCTCTTATATATTTTTTTGTATGTCAGTCCTCTACTGTTTCTGTCATCTTCTTTTGCTGTCACATTCTATGGCTACTTCATTTAATCCTGCTTATTTATTCTTCTTACTTATCTTTTTGCACTTGACCTTTTTCAATTTTTTTTTCATTTTCCTTAACACCAGCATAACAGGTCCTTCCTCTTTTCCCCCAGGTTTTGATTTATGTTTGGTTACCAGCATCTTTTCTGATTCTCTCTCCCATTTTTACTAAGCGCCCTTCCTTAACCTTCTGTTGATGTTTTATTCCTATCACTTGCTGTCAATGCCCATATAAGCCATTTCTTTCCATTCCATCTCTGTATCCCCATATACATTTTTATGATCCTACTACTAAAAGCTTAAAGCTGTATGTGAGGAATAGAAAGGTATCTTTCCCCATTTGAATCCTATTTGGTCTCCCCTCCCACAGCTGATCCCTGTGGGATTCAAACATCATCCTTTCCTGATGTTTTCCCCATCCGACCCCTCACCTGCACCCCTCTTTCCGTCACTCCCTATTTGATGCCCATCTCTTCTTTTTAACCCCAGTTTGCACTGCCTTATTTTACATCCAAGAATCTCCACAAAGTAAAGGATGGAGTTGTACTGGGAACCAGGTTGTGTGTATTTTAGAAACTTTTGCTCATTTACTGAAATGGGATTAGGGGATTGGATCCAGGAATATTCTCAGGCAGACTTTCAGCTCTGGCACAGCGTTGCACACCTTGGAGCGCAGCTGGGGCATATTCTGATGGACAAGGACTGGGATGTCTTTAAAGGCCTATTAAAGGCCCTTTGCATTCCAAAGGTCAGGATGAGTAGGCACCAACGGCCAAGGCTGGAAAAGCAGGCCAGGTGGTGATACCTGAGGCCCTTTTCTACAGCAGACCTCGCAGGGAAGCCGGTGCGTGGTCAGCGGTGCGCGATTCCGGTCTTAGAGGGGATAAGGTAGGGGGCCACTGAGGCCCCAGGAGTCACCAGGTCATCTTTGGGAGGGACACCATCTCTAAAAAGAGGAGGCAGGCCCGAGGCAGAATGCTCTCCTGGGATGCAGGGCGCGGCCCCGGGGACCAGGCGACGCCACCCCAACGGCGCCGAGGGCCAGAGGCGTAGTCCCTCCCCGGGAGGGAAAGCGAGTCGCTCCCAGTCGCTCAGCCAGAAGGTCGAGGGAACAGCGTGCGTGTCCCTCGCCAGCCGGCCCTCTGGGAGCTGGGCGGGGGCGACACTACAGGGAGTAGGGTCGAGGGCCGCAGAGATCAATCCTGGGTACCGGCGAGGGGGTCACAGACAGGAGAGGAGCGGCAGACGAGGCTGGTGGGGGGTCCCCAAGGCGGCTGGGGCCGTAGGTCTGTCTGTGTACTCGGCGGGCGCCCCGAAGTCTGGGGCCGCCACGGCTCCAGCTCCGCCGGCTCCTGCCAGAGACTCCAGGCCGCACTTTCCCCTCCTCCCGGCTCCTTCTCTCCAGTGAGGAGCCGAGCGCGGGCGGCGCGGGGGGAGGGGCGGCGACGGAGAGAACAGCCAGTTGTTTAAAATCCTTCTAGAGCAGTTTCTAATTCCCCCCTTGCGCCGGGGTTCGGAGGGGGGAGGGGGGAAGGAGAGCGGGTGGAGGGAGGAGAGCGACGAGGGAAGGAGGGAGGGAACTCGGGAGGGAGGGAAGGAGGGAGGAGACTGCCGCTTAGGCTGTAGCCGCCGCCGCCGCGCGCTTCGGCAGGCCGGAGGGAGGGGGAGGCCTGTCAGTCTCGTGGGTTGCCCGGGCGAAGGGGGCGGAGCCTTGGCGTGGGGCGGCCAATAGTGGGGGTGGCTGCGTGGGTCGCCATGGGGACGGGGCTGTTCCCGGGGAGGCTGTGATGGGTTGACAGGTGCGTGACAGTGGGAGCTGCTCTCGGCACAAGCATGTACGGCAAAGGCAAGAGTAACAGCAGCGCCGTCCCGTCCGACAGCCAGGCCCGGGAGAAGTAAGTGTCTCCGCTTCTCACCCACCTCCGCCTTCACACGCGCGCACACACACGCACGCACCCGCACACTCTCTCGGAGACACCCAGACACACAGACACTCCGCCCGGGGAGAGCCAGGGGTGGGCTGGCAGGAGGAGGGGTCCGCGAGGTGGGGGCATGCGGTGCTGGGAGCGGCTGTTTCCCAGTAGGTGCTTGCATGGGGCGGGCAGCCGTGGGGGGCTGCCGGCGTGGGGGAGTGAGTGTATCGGGGGGCGGCGGCGGTGCTGGTGGCGAGGATGGAAACTTGTTTGGGTGATTGAGGGAAATAACCCGCGGGTTCATCTCACAAAGTAACTTTAGAGCTGGGGTCTGGGGCTGCGGGGACCGGAGAGCCGCCGGGGGTCGCGGGGGACCAAAGCGGGCAGCTGTG